GAGGGAAGTTGTTTTACTTAACTGTACATATTTGTTACATTAAACTTGTTTTTCTTTTCTTTTTTTTAGTGGGGTATGAAGTGAGGAGATAAAACGGATTTCTGTTTTGTGTGTGTGTGTGTGTATACGTGATATCTATATTTATTTATTTGTAAAGAGTTGAAAGTGCTGCATATGAAGAATGCCACAGGTACTTTAAAATGAAGTCGCTATGATTAATTTTTATTTAATTGTTTTACTTTGTCACAAGAGACTTCTCATGAACTAGGAGTAATCTTTGCTTATAATATAAAAATAAAACACATCAATAAATTTTTAAAGTTACATACAGATATAACTTTATGTTTTAAATATGCATACATAGATGTATACACACATATACGTGTGTGTGTGTGTGTGTGTATAGTCCCCTGTCATAATCCTGTAAGGTAGATGCTATAATATTATCATACCTATTTTTCAGATGAGGAAACTGAGGTTCAGAGCAGATAAGCAATTTGCACAAGGTCACCTAGTAGCAAAGGTGGGATTCAAACCCAGGTCTCCCTGGTGCCGAGACCAGAACTATATCCACTATATTAAATGACCTGTCAATGCCAGTGAATAAATGTTTATAGCTCCTCTTATAAAGGTCAACAGCAGCAGAGAAACATTCTTTAAAGACAGCTATGGTAGATTAAAAAAAACACTAAAATCTAGGTGTATTTCAGGGGTACAAGTTCTAAAGATGTCTGGACTTTTAATGGAGAAGTCAGAAAGGGAGAGAACTTGGCAAGGAGTTTTATATTACTAAATAGGGATTGAAATAAGTAGCAATACTGAAATTTTCTTTCACAACCCATCCATGATTGCCCATAATTCATGATTCCTATATGTGTTCTCCCCCAAATTCAGCATAGATTGTCTGCCTAATATGCTGGCAGTCTTACTTGCCTTCTCTTGATATGGCAAGTATAGCAGTAGAATACTTGAGATACCTACTTGTTATCCCCTGCCCTCACCATATACTCAGCTCATTTCTTTTTCAATCATACGTTTCTTTGATGATATCCCTTAGCAATTGGCCAATTGAGAGTTTTATCAAGGAAATTATTCAAAGCATATTGTTAAGTAATGTCAGCAAAGGGAAAATAGTAGTTATAATTATACAAAGGATGAATTATTTCCCCCCTTAAATCTATTTTTTATTATCATTATCATTGATTATTATTTATTTAGAATTCCAAGGAGTTCAACTTAACTATCCACCCTGGAAAAACCAAATGGATGAAAGATGCTTATTATATAGAGAAGCGGTATCAAACTCAAATAGAAACAGGTGCCATTAATCCATACATAAGGATCCCTCTGGGTTGCATACTGATTAGTTGTGAAATGTAATACTATTTATGTTTTGTTATATTTTTATGTTTTCTTAAATATTTCATAATTTAATCTGTCTTGGGCTATATTTGGGAGTGCTGTAAACTCCATGTGGCCCATGGCTATGTGTTTGATATCTCTAACATAGACTATGATATATAGTTGAACTGGCAACCCCTAGATATGGTCCATCAGTAATAGCTAGGATTTAGTGCTTTAAAGTTCACAAAGCATTTAATAAATATTATCTCCTCTTACCTTTTTTTTTAACAATCTGAATAGGCAGATGCTATCATTTTCTCCATTTTGCAGTAGATAAAACTGAGACAGACAGAGGTTAAATGACTTGCCAAGGGTCATATAGCTGGTAAGTGTTTGAAGCAGAATTTGAATTCAGGTCTTCCTGACTCCAGGTGCAGCGTTCTATCCACTATGCCACCAGGCTACTTCTGTACATAACTTTTGAATAGACTCTATGAATGAATAGTGAACTAGGGCCAGAACTGAATAGGTAGAGGAGGGCAGATGGATTTGCCCTTAGAAGACTGCACAATGCTCTTAATGACTCGATATTTCTCCATTAAATACAAGCCTATGCTTTTACTAAAATGTTCTTCCAGCAACACTATTTATGTGTAAGTGATGAAATATCATAGTGTCTGAAGAATGGAAATTATAGGTCACCCAAAGGGCAATGGAGAGGTATATCAAGAATCACATGGAAGAAGTAGCATAAAGGATAGCATCAAAAAATGGATGGATGGGAAAAGAGATAGGTCAATCATGGAGCAAGAGTAGAGAATAACTGATGGATAGCCTACATCACATGCCCCATTCGTATCTGAGTAATCTCAAGAGGTCTGGAGAAAGGCCTCTACCAGATTGGGTATGCTCTTGTGGAAGACTTACAGAGGATACAAATGAGAATTGTGCAGATCTCAATCTGTATGGATGGGTTATGTTCTGTCATTAGCATTAACATCAAAGAGATCACAGATCTTTCAGTCTGAAAGTAGCATCTATAGAGAAACCATTGTTGACCTTTCTAAACTTGTGTCTTGTTAACGTTAATTCTGTTAGCTCTAGATATGCATTTTGGAAGAAATTTTTGCTCTAAAACATCATCGTACTTTGATGAATTCATGATTTCCCTATGTGCACCATCTTATTAGTCATGATGATCTCAATTCATCCATATCTCCTTCTTTACTGGTACATGTATAATTTATACATTTTTATCAATCGGATAAAATAACATTGATAGAAACATTTTTAAAAGTTAGTTTGGGGGCAGCTAGGTGGTGCAGTAGCTAGAGCACAGGCCCTGGAGTCAGGAGGATCTGAGTTCAAATCTGGCCTCAGACACTTAATACTTACTAGCTGTGTGACCCTGGGCAAGTCACTAAATCTCAGGTGCCTCATCAGAAAGCTAGGGATACAAACAGAAAAGTAAGATGGTCTGTGGTCTCAAGAAGCTCACATTCTAATGGAGAGACACATTTGGAAGGCTTCAGCAGCAAGTCAGATAGAAAAGTCTCATGTCCTTAGGGTACAGCTGCAAAGTGGATGTTAATACTTCTTTAATGTCATTTTCTTTCATAAAATGTGATTGAATCATAATCCTGATAAATTATTTGACAGTGCCAAAGATTTTGGCGATAAGAACTTTCCTTTCTAGGTCTTCAGTGTCTGTGGCTGTAGCACCTGCAGAAGCAAATGCCATGCTCCATCTCCATAGAGTTTGTTTTTGAAAAGGATGGTTGAGGGTATTGGTCTGGAAGCACTGTTATAATCCCAAGACTTTTATGTTTGAGTTCCTGGGCTATCTACATCTGTATCTGAGGGGAGATGGTAGTCAAGGTGGTGGAGTTGGTTTGACTTGCCTGGCACATGATGCCTCTTGTCTTTCCCTCAGGGTGCCTTGCTAATTCAGCTAGGTTGGATTGACTGCTCAGTGTGTGTGAGTTGTTTGACAGTCACTGGTGATGGCGAGCTCCTTCTCCACAGGAGCTGCCTCCCCAAATGAAGGCTATGCAGTTATGATATTGGAACTGTGAAACAATAGGAATGCGCTAAGATACTGGGTTAAAAAACTGAGAATGTATAACTTGTGTGAAACTTTTATTGTCTAAGTTCCTAAAAGGAAGCACTTTTTTAGAACCAAAAAATATATCCAGACTCTACAGAATTATTCTCTACTTTCTTTGTTCTAAGCCAATTACTCATGACTGACCAAACTTTACAAATTTGCTGATACTGTACTTAAGCCATTTCTATGTTTATAAAGTCACAAAATAATAATATTTTCCACAAAAGTATCAATTTTTGTCGGTACGGGGAACTTTTGGAGTGAGAATTCCCTTTACCTGTGCTGGTCATAACCCACATTTGACTTAAGTTTCAAGGTCAAGGGAGTTGCCTGAGATGCACAGAAACTTTGTGACTTGCCCAGAGTCACACGACTAGTAAGTTTCGATGGCAGGATTTGAACCCATTTCAGCAGCTTCAATTAATGCCTCTATGCAAATGACTCCCAAATTAATATCTCCAGTTCTGATATTTTCTGAACTCAAGACTGAATTTCTAGCTCACTATAGAAAATCCACCACTAGCTATTCCTCTGGCACTTCAAACTCAACATGTCACAAATAGAGCACATTATCTTTTTTTATCATACCTCCTTACTTCACTATTTTATCTGTAACACCATTCAGTTTCCCATTGTCATGATTTAGGCTTTTCTTTGATTTTTTTCATCTACTCCAATTTTATATTCAGTCAGTCTGCAGGTCCTATCCATTCCAACTTCTAATACATCACTTGAGTCCATCCCCTTCTTTTTATTTTTCAGTTACCAGCTTAGGAAAGGCCCATATACCAACAGCTAGATACTCTGTACTATCAAAATATCCTCCTTATATCAATCAGTCAGTCAGTCAATTTAACATTTATTAAATGTCTACTAAGTGCCAGGCCCTGAGTTATATGGTGGGCACTCCTGTCTCCATTCTGTCCCTAATCAATTCATCCTTCATACAACTTTAGAAGAATCTTCCTTACAAATAGATCTGATCATATCACTCTCTTGCCCAAAGATCTTCATTATTGGCTATCGAGTAGATTTTAAACTCCTCTGCATGGCATTCATGATCCTCCACAATGGGCATACCCCAACCAAACACACCTTATTTTAGGTTATTCTCCATTTACTTTACGTGCTAACCAAAACGAACTATTCTTTCCCCATCTTTTCCCATCTTTTCCCCACAGATGTACATACTTTCCAGTTGTGTCTTTATCAGGTTATTCTCTATACCTGAAATGCCTTTGTTTCTAATTTTTGCCTACTGAATTCCTATCCATCCCTTAAAACCAAAACTCTAATGCCACTTGCTTAAGAAAATTTGGTAATGACCACTTTCAGACCACACAAAGTACTTTGTAACTCTCTAACACATTTATGTAATATTGTGTGTTATGGCTATCTTTGCTAGTGTGTTATTCCCTTATTAGATTGTAGCCTCTTTGGAGACAGATATGTTATCTTTGTAACTGTAGGCCCACTGACTCATATATAAATGTTGCTTAATCAATGTTTCATTGACACTATCTTCTTATGACTTATTCCCCACCACAACTCTCTGATCCAACAGCCCTTTCTTCCTTGCTTTTCCTCAGATAAGACACTCTGTCACCCCTTTGCATGCATTTTCACTGGCTGTTCCCAGTGTCTGAAACGCTCTCCCTCCTCCTCTCCATCTCCTGGCTTACCCAGGTTACTTTAAGTATCAGCTAAATTCTACTTTATTCAGTCCTACTTAATGCTATTGCCTCCTCTCTATGATTCTCTCCAATTTATCCTGCCTGTATCTTGCTCACGCACAGTTGTCTGCATGTTGTCTCCTCCATTAAAATTGTAAGCATCTTGAGGACAGGGACTATATTTTTCCTTTCTTCCTATCCCCATCACTTAGCACACTGCTTGGAACAGAGTAGGCACTTAAGAAATGCTTGTTGAATTGATTTGATCATAGATTTAAAACAAGAGAACTGACTTCTTTATTCACTATGCAGAGGAAAATGGTGAGATAGAGAGATTGATAACTTGCTGAAGATTACAAAGATAACATGTCTGGGATTCAAACCAAGGTCTTCTAATTCCAAATTCTGCTCGTTTCCCTGCAATGAAAGGCAGTGTGCCCTGGAGAACTGTCCTCAGACATGGAGAGACCCAGGTCAAAGTCCTGTCTCTGACAGATACTGACTGTGTGACTCAGGGCAAGTCTCTTGATGGGTCAGTATTCTAAACTATAGGAGAAGGTGCTAACCTGCTTTGGTAAAGTGACTTTCCTCACCAGGAAGTTCCCTATGCCAAATGAAATCACAGGTCCTGTTTCAATCCCTATTCTTCCACTGCACCGTTATTTCCTTTATTTAGCATAATTGTATCATTGATTTCCTCATCTGCAAAAAGGGGGGGGCAATAACTAAAGGATCTCTAAGGTTCCTTCCAGATCTAAATCCTGGAACCCTGATCTTCCTCTCATTTGATTCTCATACCAACCCTGTCAGGCTGGCAAAGGAAATACAATCATGCCCATTTATCAGACTAGGACCTGAGGTTCAAAAAGGCTAAAGGATTTGCTCATGGTTTCACAGAATATAAGTGGTAGAACTGGCATTAGAACCCAGGTCTTTTGATTTCTAGTCCACTATTCTTTTCACCACACCATGCTTCCATTAATTAATGTGTCCTCATTGCCCTTTATGTTGATTGCAGTGATGACCCTCTTTTGGTCCTCCTGCCTCCCAGGAAGTAAGTATTTATCAAAACCCTTGTGCTTTATAATACAGCACAATGAGCATGAAGGCACTTCGTCAATATCTCTTCTAATCTCTCAGGCAGAATGATGCTAGTTTAACATCCTTTGAGGGGTGCCAGCAGGGGCCAAGAGCATCTCTGTTGGGAAGGAACTTTGCATTCTGGTCATCTGCTAGATTGAGATCCTTGATCAATAGTCCTTCCAGAATCTAGAGAACAATTCAGGGAAAAGGTGCCTCTCATCTTTGAAGAATAATTCAAGAAAAATGCAGGAAGTGTAATCTTCTGCATCCTCACACAAAGAAGACACTGCTTGTATTCCTGACCAAAGAACTATGTTTCAAAGTGCATTGAGTTTCTTACATGTCCTAATTGGATCCAACAAAAGTCTAAGCATGTGGAGTGAAGGTGGAAATGTTAAGGTGCTGAAAGTCCTCCTGGGGTTGTGTCTAAGTAAAAAGGAGTATACGTGAGAAAGTCATTTTGAAGAGGTATGGTGCATTTTTCCATTCACTATGCAATCAAAGACATGGCTGGTGTATCTTTTATACTTTCAAAGTTTTTTTCTACTAGCAATTACTCTTTTTTTTCAAAGTTATTTTTTAAATACATGTTTTAGCCAAAACATGATTTTGAGAGTTACAGTGAAGAATTTTCATTTTAATACAATGTAGCTACATAAGCAGATTTCAAAAGCAGTTTTCTAGTTGGTGGTAATCAAGTCCTACATAGGTGTATCTGGAAAAATAAAAGATGTTATTTTGAAAAAAAAAAAGGATGGCCTTGTACTAAATCCCAATAAGTCTCAGCTTGGCTCTGTAGAAAATCTGTTGCGAAGTTTTCCAGGCAGTAGCTCCAGTAAATCTTAAAGCATTATCTCTAAATTTGATGCTTTTGTGAACTTACGTCACATATTAAAATTATCTTAATGCACCTTTTTGTCTTTTCTTCACAATAGTGTTACAAAAGAGAAAGGAGGATTGGGAGGAAACACATTTAAAAAGCAAATGAAAAAGAACTCAATGGAAGTCTATGTGACTACCTGTTGATGAGTATGTAAGAGATTCATTAATATGCAGATCATTGCCATGATAGGCCATAATGACTCCTCCAGGGACATATCAGTCTATTGTGTCAGAGACTAGTTAAGAATTCATTAATGTGTAGATTCGTGACTTTTTAATATGCACATTATTAACACAACAGACTAAAGCATAGCTTTCAAATTGTCCACATTTTACAGAACATTCTCTCATCTGCCCCCTCACCCATACCTCTGAAATATTCCTTTTTCTCTCTTGCTGTCACCAAATACCGTGAAATGAGTTCTGGGCTGGTGCAGATTTCACATAAAACCTTTTCTTCCAAGTCAGCCGGGTAGACTTAAGTCCTTCCTATAACATGAGCCACTTCAACTTTTGTGCTCTGCTCCATCCCCAAATAGTCTGACTTTTAGCCTCGGAATCATAATTAAATCTTTATCACTATCGCTTCAGGAAAAGTATAACAATAGTCTGTACAGTGGCTTCACTCACCATTCCTATAACTCCGACCTAAACTCCTTCCTTGGCCTCCATTCATTTCCCTACCAATGTTGTGTCCTCTAGTAGAATATAAGCCCCTTGAGGATGTACTACTTTCATGCAGGCCCCCCATCACCTCATGTCTGGATTACTGTAATAGCCCATTGTTGGCTTTGCCTGCCTCAAGTCTCTCCCCCACCCAGCCTTTAAAGCAATTTTCCTAAACCACAGATCTATGTCATCCCTCACCCCTTGTAGCTCTCTGTTGCCCATTGGATCAAATACAAAATGCTTTATTTGCCATTCAAAGCCCTTCATAACCCAGCCCCTTCTTATCTTTCCAGTCTACTTACACCTTACTCTCCAACCTGTACTCTCTGATCCAATTACACTGGCCCCCTAAGTGTATAATGAGCAAGACACTCCAATCTCAGCACTGTGCTTTCTCTCCGGTTTTCCCTGATGCTTAGAATGCTCTCCCTCCTCAGCTCTGCCTTTTGACCTCCCTAGCTTCATTTAAGCCCCATCTAAAATCCCTTCTTTTACTGAAAGGCTTTCACATTCCCTCTTAATTCTAGTACGATCCCTATGTTAATTGCTTTCTACTTATCCTACATATAGCTTGCTATATATACATATTTTTTTCGCCCGCATGCTGTCTCTGCCATTAGATTGTAAGCTCCTTGAGGGCAGGAACTGTCTTTTGCCTCTGTTTGTCTCACCATCACTTAGCATAGTGTCTAGCACAGAGCAGCACAATAAATGTTTATTGATTGATTGAGACAGAGAACTAAATGGTGCAGCTGAAAGTCCTGGACCTGGAGTCAGGAAGACCCAAGTTCAGATTCAGCATCAAATACATATTAACTGTGTGACCCTAAGCATATCATTTAATTTCTTGTTTGTCTCAATTTCCTTTTCTGTAAACTGAAGATAATAATAGTACCCACCTCTCAGAGTTGTTGTGACAATAAAATGAGATAATATTTGTAAAGTGCTTCCTAAATCGGAAAATGTTACATAAATGCTAACTATTATTTATAAAAAAGATACAGAAAGATGCTTTAGAAAGAAGCTATTTTAAAAAAAAGAAAGGATATAATTGAAAAAATAGAAAAGGTGAAAGTTTAGAGAAAAGATAATGCTGAGGTTCATGTTTTGTGCCTGGCATAGGATTCAGGTAATGATTGATCCCCCATAGAATCAGCAAGAGGTTTGGCATTTGAAGAAACTAGTTTCACATAAGAGTGATGAAATAATACTCACACTTTGAGTTTCCATAATAGGGACAGAGATGAAGATCCCTTTTTTGTTTGTTTCCTGCAGTGGAATTGTACTTAAATATTTCTAAAGATGCATGACTTTGTCAATGTGAGAACTGTCCATTTACACCAATCACTCCCCTTCCACACCTTAGTAGAAAATCTTTATGAGTTGCTGTGTTCTATCCTCCTCCCCACCCCCCACCAAAAAAAAAATCACCAAATAATGATGATTATTCTCTCCAAACTTAGAACTGTTCCTTTTACTCATACTCCATTATCAAACCCATATTGAGAACCATAACTAGCAATTATGGGGCTCAGGGCAATTCATTAGAGGGAGGAGTAGGGTACCACCCTATGAGGAGACAGAGACCCAAAGATATCTTAAGGCAATTGTTGAGGAGGCTGCCATGAAGAAGGGAGAAATAGGTTGGAATGGCTCTGTGAAGAATTCCCCTGGAATGCTCTCCCTTTTCATCTCAGACTCCCAGATTTCTTGGTTTTCTGTAAGTCCCAGCTAAAATATCACCTTCCACAGAAAGCCTTGCTTAATCCACCTTGATACTAGCGCCTTTCCTGTGTTTATTATTTCACACACACACAAACAACTAGGTACAAAAAGTTTACATATACATATATATGAAATACGTACACATACGTTTTGCTATGCATATGTGTGTATACATGTATGTACATATTATACAAGTATATGCACATATATAATTTTTTTGTACTTCGTTGTTTGCACATTATCTCCCTTGGCGGACTGTAAGCTCCATGAGAGTAGGGACTGTCTTTTGCCTCTCTTTGTATGCTCAGTGTTTAGCACAGTACCTGGGGCATAGTAAGCACTTAAATATTTATTCACTGATTGACTTACTGGCTGTGTACCTATGCCATGAAAGGAAGCTTGCCAACTATTAACTGCTTATTTTAATTATTCCTGTTCATATTACTTTGTTATTCTAGCATAGACTACAATATAATAAGAGCATTTACTACCAATCAGTCAATCAATCAACAAGCATTATTGTGAACTTATAACGTGCCAAGCATT